GGCTGCTCCCCGGGGCTTGGGCCCTGGCTGCCCCCTGTGGTCATGCTGAGTATAACCGCCCCTGCGGTCACATCCCCCCTTCCATTTGATGGGAACCAATCACATTCCAGGCCCATCCCATTCTCCCAGCACAACCCAACCTTGACTTGCTTTATGTGACGACACGAGGAAGCTGCCTGCTAAATTTGGCGGTCCCCGCTCTTACTGTTTAGGAGGAGTTTTTGAACGAACGGACTCACAGCTGGACGGACGGACCCACAGACAAACGGTCTCAAATATACAGTAGATCTGCTTCCTGCATCCAGCGTGACCCAGCTTGCCGAAATGCAGACAGCCCCACGAGCTCTAGCTTTCTGCGCAGCAGCGTGAATTGTTATGTCTCCGTTGAATCAGGAGCTGGCTCAGAAATGCCTGAGGTGCTACGAATGGAATCTATGCTTACGCCGAGGGACGCTCTGTCCTTTCTAGCAGAGGCTGGCCCCCAGGGAGGTTTTTGAAGGGTTTGCTAGCGCGGCTTTCACTAGAGGCAGATCAGGTGCCCCACAGAGTCAGAGCAAAACCTGAAATGTTTCCTCAGCTTTCACTCATGTCTGCTTCAGATACAATTTCCACAAAGCTTGTGCCTGGGTAAGGACTCTGAGAAAGGGCAAAGACTTTAGGACCTGGCCTCACCAGACTTAGGAAGGAAACGGCTAGTGTGACAGGGTCAGAGCAGAAGGCTATTAAAACGCAGTGGAGGGGAGCTATCTAACCCTCAGACTGAGAAGAATCCTGCCTCCAGAGGAGCAGGGAAGGGCTGGTTTAGAGCCCCAGGGGCAGTGGAACTCCTAGGGCTAATTGACCAGGCCTGTGAGTCAGGCCAGCCTAGGCCAATTAGGACACCTGGGGGTAATTAAGAAAACTAGGTCAGACTGGCTATAAAAGAAGCTGGCCTGCAGTGGCAGGGTGCGTGTAGCTGAGAGGACGGAGGAGGGCGTAGCTGGGAGTAGGAGGGAAGGAGCTCACAGCCAGGAGGACGAACTGAGAGATGGAAGGGGCTGGGGAAGTAGCTCGGGGTCTTGTCTTATAGCAGGTGTCGGGGATTCGCACAGGCAGCTCTCTCAGCGCCCTGGGCTGGACCCCAGAGTAGAGGGTGGGCCTGAGCTCCCCTAACACTCACCTCCCCATTTCCACATGGGGAAAAGGACGGTAGAGTTTAATCTCCGTTTTACCATACACCAGCCAATAGAGTTGCCAGATGGTTTAACAAAATATACCGACCCCCCTCCCAAAAAAACAGGAAAAAATTCTGTCGAGGAAAAAAAAGTGTGGGGGGGAGAGACCAAAGTTGGTAAGCACAAGTTGCACCACTCCCTCCAGTTTGGGACCACACACTAACCCCCAATGCACCCACCCCTCTCCCTGAGGGAGGCATCCCCAGTGCTGGGAGCGCCCCACCCCAATCAAATCCCCCCTCCCCTGCAGAGCCAGCCACCAGAGTACGGCTGGGTGAGTGAATCTGACTTTTAAAGAGGCTGCTCCTACTGCCCGACCTGGCTGCCTTGGCTCACAGTGGGCAGAGGGAGGCATCACGTGGCCAGCTCCCGGGTCTCTGCTGGTCACGTGGGCCAGAGCAGCATGCGCTCCGCTCCCACCCCAGCCCGGCAGCCGGCAACTGCCCCCTTCCGTCCCAGGGAAACAGGAAATACCAAACATTGCACATGTCCGGTATTTTCTGTGGTTGTTTTTTACTGGACGGAGCCCACAAATACCTGGGTGAATACCAGACACCTGGCAACCGTACCAGCCAAGGATGAAAAGAAACAGCAAATGAAATCCCTGGGCACGGTGACTAAAACTGGGCTGCTGTGAGCCTCTGAGGTGAGCAAAATCCGCCGGGAAGCGCAGGCCCCACCACGTTTTCATAGGAGCTGTGTCCCACTGAGCAGAATGGAAGGGAGCCAAGTCTGCGGCGTGATGGCAACAGAGCTTCACCTTACCATCATACTTTTCGCCATCACGGGGGCATCTTCCTGGAAGATCCCATCAGGTTTCTGCTTTTCTAGGATCAGCCACTTCACAGCCCCGCAGATCACTTGATAATCTATACTCACGAGCTTGTAGGCCAGGGAAAAGACCTTCACAACATACGCCGTCAGCCTGAGGGATCAAGATACAGAATCACAAGGTCACTCCTGAAATTCTCCTCCACCCAGATGTGTGAGCCAAACGATCCCAGACGTTGGCTCAAAGCAGGGTATGTGGAAACTTCATCAGTACTGGGTATTGGGGCAGGTTTTGCAGGGCTCACTCTAGTAAATTATCTGCAGTAACTTGATGACCGCTCCCTCAAATAAGCAGGCTAGGGAGGAAGAAGTGACCTTAGGGTATGTCTACACTACCCCCCTAGTTAGAACTAGGGGGGTAATGTATGCATACCGAACTTGTTAATGAAGCCCGGGATTTGAATTTCCCGGGCTTCATTAGCATAAAGCCGGCGCCGCCATTTTTAAAAGCCGGCTAGTGCGAACCCCGTGCCGCGCGGCTACACGCGGCACGGACTAGATAGTTCGGATTAGGCTTC